ACAATGACACAAATGAATTGTACCAAACACAACTGCAGAAACATGCTAGTACTTAGTACAAGACGTCAACACCAATGGGTATTGTGTGGAATCTTCATGACAAGTGATGAATGCCACACCGTGTAGAGGTGAACCAGTCACAATAACAGATCGATATATGATAACGGCGAAACAGTAACGCATTATCATCATTATCATTACACCACGATAACACATGTCATTCCTATATGGCTTGGCCAGGAAGGTTGTTTAAACTTGTTAGTTTGTTAACCACCATGAAATAACAATACTAAAACCACTAACGTTATAGGCCGGAACATAAGTATTATTTTTATCACGCCCAGGGAGTGTGGGAAGGGGACAACACAAACTATGATAACGTGATTATCTTACGTGTTATTTCATACATGCACATAGCTTGTCACACGATCGGTGATTAGGGACATCCAAGCCTAATCATATGCCAGGGAAAATGGGGTCATGAAAAATGCATTATGTGCCTACGTGATGATATGTCCTCCTGTAGCCAATGTAAACAACATGGGGACATTGAACATGATGAACAAAATGATAGGACTATATTGTTTCATCACATAATGCTTAAAGTTTATCACCATGCCACACACTAGTACACAACATCACAGTGAAAGAACGTCACAGCCAAAAGCTGGATGACTGATGATTAAAGAATGGGTAAATTAATAGATAAATAGATAGACAACAGTGAAACGTCAGAAGTAATGTTGAACCGTACCAGAGAATAAATTTTAACATATTTGAGGAGTAATATGGCACGAGGCCTATTCATAACAGTTTTGATATCATAGCTGTGGCACGATCAAATTATCAGTTTGGGCCACATTTTAGCAAAACGCTTCTTGAATACATGCTGCTATGACAGATTTTCTCATGGCTAATTCAGTTCAACCACTCACGTTAAGCTACTTGATTTAGAACGGCCTGTCACGTATGGGACCCATGTGATGTAGCAGGCTTTTAAAGTGCCTCTTCAAAACAAACTAAGGGGTCCTACAAGACTTGCGCCTGTGGGACGCCATCGTCTGATCAGGTTCAAGTACGAGTTCCTCTGGCGCACGTTTGCGCTTGCTTCAATTGGATACATTTGCGTCCCACGGCAGCAGCAATACACACAGGAAACATTTCCAGAACGTGTGCTTCATCCTTGAGTCTGTTGGAACCACTCCAACTGTACTTGGGAGACCTCGTGCTTCACCACTTCAAGTAAATAGGACTTAGAAGTGTGCTGTACATCACGGTCACATGTAGCCTGACTGGCATCCTTAATTTTCTCTGGAAGTAATGGTTGTCTGTCACCAAAAAAAAATGTGCAGCCAGAAGAAGGTAGGATTTTTTCAGTGCCAATGTAACAGTACTGACTGAGTGTCGCTCCAGGGATGTGGTATTCGGAAGATTCGAGGACGAATCTTGAAAAGAAAAGGGGGAGTAGTGTAACAGTACTAGTGGGGGGGGGGGGGTTATAGGCGCCTCCAACTGATCCGATCTAGATCTTTTAGCCGAATGGTTAGAGCGTCGGGGGTATGAGCTGGCGCCCGGGTTTGGCGTGGGTTCGATCCCCGGCCGGGGCCAGGATTGTCTTTCTACTCTCCTAATTCTTGCATCAATATCTGCTCGGAGATTACGTTTAAGCAGTATCATTCCCTTCACAGCTTGCAGTGGTAAATTCCAACCGCAGAAGTATACCGCTTCACATAACACGCATGTCTCAATACCCATTTCCATCAACCCCCGGAGTTAGGGACAATTAGATGTGAAAATCAATCCAGAAACCCGATTAATGCGATCGCTATCGTTTCTATCGCTCGTTTGCAGACTAGACCGTCTGACGGCCGGGTTATTGCACTTGAAGATGGATTGTCTTGTCGCTAAGTAAACCGATTGTGCGCGAGTCATTAGTGAGAGGGAGGAGGGACCTTGGGAGATCTCAGAGGAAGGATGATGGACTTCAGTTCAGCTCAATTTCGCAGTATGGTAGTGGCATTAGTGGTATAGTAATTAGACTGCTCGGGTTTTCTATAATATGAATTTGCCCAAGATTCTCTTTTCATACACGGCACTTTAGGTTGAAGTCAACCAGAATTTTATGATGGTTTTGAATCGAAGTTCCAAAGAACAATTTTCTAATGTCTTAAGAGAGCCTGGTGTGTTAAAATGACGGTACTAAAATGAGTACGGGCTGTTAGAATCCCCCACAGTGGCCCATGCTACCATAATGTTGAGTAGCGTTCAAAGCCAATGTACCAAAGCTGTGTCTGACAACCTGCTGTAAGACTGTGAACAGATGGCAGGTTTTTCATCGTGGGGAGGGGGGCGACTTTAAATCATTACTACTACTAGTAGTACATTGACGTCTCCTGAATGCACTCTAATTTTGTCACACCGCAAAACATCATAATAATTGATCCCACGACCTTCGAGGTGGTGGTCGAGCCGGTATTTCGAAGGTGATTCACCGCAGATGTGTAATTTTCATACTTTGCCATGTCTGCACATTAGTCCATTATGACTAGATTCACTGACTAAGAACAATGTTGCGTCTGGGCTGTAACGGGTAGACTAATGATGCCTTCAGGACACTACATTTTACACTAGACTGAAAATGCTTAGTCGTTGGATATTGAAGACCACGAAAAGCACCCACAGGAAACTGGCTAGTGTTGAATTCCACGGTATCTTGCCTCAGATACGATGCGTAAAAATCTTATAAGGCGCAAGTTCCGCAACCATTTTATCAATTTGAAGCATGTCAACGTATCTTTGTAGATTGTGAGCTACTCCCAGGGGCAAGTTTACCATACACCATGACCGTTCTAATTAAAGCCGACATAGATAACGTTATCAAAGGAAATGGGGTTCATCATGATAACCGATGGTCAGAGATTTCCAAACGACGGAAGAATTTCCTGACCTCCTAAACTTTGAAAGTTTGAAATTGAAATAGCCCCCCCCCCACAGGCCAGGTGTGTATTTTCCATGAAATCGCCTGTCAGACCTTACAAACATATACAATTCTACAGTTCGTCACGCATGGAAGTCATGGAAGTCACGGAATCAGGGGTGAACATGAGGCGGTTAGAAGTTAGGCTAACATCGCAACACAACCCGTGAAGGTTAACACTGCGGCATTAGCCATCGAGGGGAAAGTTTGAAACTCAGCCAACGATAACATCTCTGGAGACTGTCCAAGAATGATGCAACAGTAGCTTCTATAAATACATGAAAAAATGTGTTGAAATTGAATAAAAAATGTATGTACTCATACGCTTACACGAACTTCGTCACATCCAAGAGAAATTTGATCTTGTATTTCATACCGTTGTTCTCGCCACAAACCTTTTGCTAGTCTCGTCACAGAGTGACCCTGTCCCTTTGCCCTTCTTTTATACAGCCATGGCCCCGACACCATTCTGTCATCTATAGCCCAATGATTTACCACTGAGCAAACTGCTGCAAGGTGAAAAGCATTGTCCATTCTGTATGGATGCTTTTGATATGCATTTTACAATAATGTCAATAATATCCAATGCTTCTAATTCTACGCTTGTAGTTTTGACGGGGCCCCATGCAGCCAAAGTGGCCAACGTATATTCCTGACTAAGCATTCTCTAGTGGCCAGTTCATCTAATAATATAACGATCTCTCTGCCAGTACAAAGGGAATTGGCCGCTACAAGAACTTTGACTATTCGCCAAACAAAATATCTCTTTCCCTATTTGTACATTTATTGCTCTGTGTACTAAGTAGGTTAAAGCTTTTATAGATTTAGGGCATTTACGTATACGTGGAATGTTCCAAATCTGCAATCCCCTAGCAAATCTGCAGAGTGCATGCAATCAAGAGAATGCTGTCTGCACTTAACCCACGTAATAACAGAAGAAAATTGCCTCCTGAATGCTATAGTATATGTAACATGTTAGAACATCTGTGTGTGTGAATGTTTACGCTGGTTCGAATTCAGACTCGAGCTAGTTGCGCATTATATCGCCAATAAACAATAAAACACACAGAACAAAGCTATGCCTGCAATATGTGACTGCGCATGCCTGTCTGCGCTGCCCTGTCGTGTCACCTGTCGAGGTCATGACCTCAGGCTTATGAAAGACGTTAAAATTGAAAAAAAAAAATCGACGTTTCCGATTCCAGAGTTCAAGCAGTGCGCTACCGAATAGCGAGCTAGTTTCTACCATAGTCGATGAAGTTGAGTGAGACAGATCTGACCGCCATGAGGAAACATTGACCGTGCTCGAAACCCGTGACCTCTATACGTCAAGTACGGCCGCAGAATTATCTCTCATCTCCCAGTGTGGAGAGCTCTATCGATCTTACCATGGGTAGTACGGCCTGCATGAGGCACAACTGGAGAGAAACGGGTTTAGCGAGAGGGGAGAGGGGGGTATTCTGTGTGAAAAAGCATTATAAAGGCGCAGATTTTATATTTGCTGTCGGCGATGAGTGTGTCTCGGCAAATCTACATATTGCCATTGTTAAGGCCCCTCTCATATTATGCTCATCATGTTGTTAGCTGCATATTCCCACATGAATTATCACTAACGATATGTAGAAAGAACGTTATGAAACAATTAAAACCATATTTAATAGGGGACGTCTATTGTACACCCTGTCGTGTGTCAGGGCTTAACAATTTTCCCTACATACTCTCTAGTTCACTGTCAGACTATGCACAGCATTTTCCCAGCTGGATATTCCCACGTAATATATTACCAACGGTATACCAACGGTATATATAAAGAACGTTATGAAACAAAAGTATTTTAGGGGGCGTCTACTGCACACCCTGCGGTGTGTCAGGGACATAAGAATTTTCCTTACGTACTGAGTTCACAGGGACATGAACAGTCACGTACACAAGCAGACCAACACACTTCATTTCTGACCAAGTCACTGTTTAATCTTATGTAGCAGCACAATCGTAAGGACACAGTCTACCGTAAGATCGGAAATAAATGATTCACCTTGTATTTATACTTGCTGTACATGGATAAGGGTGTTATATAACAGTAAAACTCTGTGGGTCGTGCGGACGTCAACCCAGGTGCTGTACAAGAAGTCTTTATACGTCCAACTGTTATAGTTCCAGCAGTGGGCATGCCCCTGTACTTCTGTAAATCAGCACTTTCTTGTGTCCTTACATATATATATATCTGTATCTTTGATACAAACTTTTCTCTCTTTTTTATCTCTTCTTCTTTTTACACAATCGTATAAACATCATCGTACAAATAAAAAGAAAACATGGCAGCTCGTGTTGACACAGTCCGTCGCCATTTAGAATGACCTTGGGTTAATGAATCCCGCCTCGTTTGGCAACATAGCACGCCACGCCTTCTTTTTTTATCTCCCAGAATTGCACATTAGCATCACTTTTGGGCATGGCTTACATTTGGGGACTTTCTCACAACCACAAAGTCCCTGAAATCACGTGAACACCGGGAGCATAAAACCATTAAACCTTTTTTTTTTAAATTATCTAAATATTGGCTATTTGTGCTCAACAGCAATGGCCCTGAATATTGTTGATGTAACTTGTAAGCGAGGTGTAACGGGTGTAACGTTACATGCCATTGCGTTCCGTCCAGACAGTGTTTCCCGGTGTTGCATCATGATTTGACCTTGCGTGTGCCCCTCCCCCAAAAATACACACCCATCCCTGCATCGTCCTTCAATGTCTCTCTCCATTTTCTTTTGACGGTGCCCGTACCAGTATTACACACCTCAGACTTTACTCTTGTCCATACTTTCATGTCCTTCTAAAGAGTCGACACCACATATCTATGTAGACTTTTCTTAAGCCTGTCCCAGTATCATACCTCAACCACGGCACCACTTTCCAGTTCGTATTAACCAGTATCTTTCGACGTACTGGCTAAGATTTCACACCTTTGTTCAATGCTGACTTCTTCTGTTTCGCGGAGACTACGCCATCGTTACTTTGTCGTTGACCATGAAGAGCCTGTCTCTCGTCCTTTGACAAATGGCGCCTCCGTAAGTCTGGCTCCGGGAGGTTGCGTTGTGTGCGTGACTAGCATAGTTACGACTCGGCGGACTTGTCCGCAGGTAACCCCGTCTTCCATTTTTAAAGCGGCATTGTCCGTTGCTGGTTTCAAGTGTCTGTTTACAACCAACCAAAGTCCGGGCTAAAATATACAGACTACGGTCGTCGACCTCTAGTTTTGCCCTCTAAATGTTTGCCCTCGTAACGGTTGAAGAAAAATCATTTCTAGACATCGAATCTGTAAGCCTTCAAGGAGATGAACTGACTATGGGAATCTGCAAGCATTTTAGTGCAACAAAATCACATAAACAATCGCATAAAAAACAGTAGTAATTTTAACTGCTCCATCCCATAGTGCGAAAGCACGGTTCCGTATTTGGCCCGGTATACAGCTACAAGCCATCTTCAAACTGTAACCGCACGGCCATCTTGAAACCGTCAGTTCTTGTGGTTGCATCCTTTTTAATTTTCTCCTGTTTTGAGTCAAACGAAGTGTGACCAATATCGCTTTTCCAATATCGGTTCTTCCGCGGGTTCCTTACAGTAGCATTCGAAGACGTAGTTCTTCCCTTTGTTATTGTCCCAGAAGGTGTTCCCTGGGATTTCGTATCTGATGGCGAACTCGATTTTAGAGCCCACGGGAAAGTCCCCCGGAGGAGCGGTCATCGTGAAGGAAAACTTGTCGGTCGTGCCGTCGCACGATCCGTACACGTACGACGCTTCTAGCTCCTCGCACGTCTTCCAACCGTCAAAACTGTAACGGACGTAAACATTTTTGTGATAGTCCAAGTTCCGTACACGCACTGAACACAGCACGGTCATACCTGCAACAACGGCTGTTTCCAAACACAGGGCCTGGTCCCACACCCGTCCAAGAAAGTCCGGGTCGTTTCCGAGAGGGCGGAAACAAGACCCAAGGAAACGCTGGCCGGGGAAAGCGTCGTTATACTCCGGTGACCGCTGTTTTGAAGTGTTCAGCGCCGACAGCACCTGCTTGGGAATTACGGGAGGTGTGTCATAGTCTAGGATTAATTTGACGTCCACCAAGTCCAGGCCAAGCGAATCGGCAAAGTGCACGCTCTTCTTCTGTCTTTCCCGAGAGGTGGGCGATAGTGCCTCGGGGCTCCCCAGAGGAGTATTTCCTTGTGATAGCGATCTTGAGTCAATTCTCAGGCCAGGCTTCCTGGTCTTCCAGCCTTTTTCGGGTATGGTTATCATGAGGGATCGTAAGGACGCTTGCTCGGCGAGGTTGTGCCTGCCCATGCGCCGGGAGCCCTGGTTCGGCTCCCCGACGGACAGGTAGCTGAAGTTCCGCGGTAAACACAACGCCGGGTTTATTCCCTCGATCATCATAGGCTCCCGTGGTAGTGTTGTTGTTGTGTGCTGTAAACGCTCCGAGCGGTCGATCTTGCTTCTTTCTCAGAGCGCTGTTGTTGTTGCAGTTGTGTTGTGGTAGTGTTGTCGGGTTCACAGAACACAGGGGCCCGTCGGGTACGGTTGGTGTTGACCGGTAGACCGGTACCGCCCCCCTGTCCGTCCCGTGCTAGCCGGCCGGTTGATGGTGGTGGCAGGGAAGCACTAGCGCAGCTGCGCAGTGAAACAAGGTCTTACCCAGAAAAACAACTAACCGCAGACAGTGTCTGCCAATCGGCTGTTCTAGAAGTGACGCAATGAAACGGACCAGCTGAACGGGGAGTGGCCGTTAGTTGTCAGTCAGGAGGTGCGGCCCGGAAGCGGTCTCGGTGCAGTTTTACGTCTCAAAGTCCTTGCAGTGTCCTTAAGTCGAAGGAATGCCACCTCACCGGTCTGTGTGGGCATATCTCTGGCTATTGAAAGGCTGCAACGTTGTTTACCGAGCGAGTATTCACGGAAAAGTCCGTTTAAAAACAGCATTACTGGCCGGTCCTTAATGTGATATTCAATACTGGCCTACGTGACTCCCCGCACGTAGGCACAGTTGGTGCGCCGCCTGTCGGAAAGGCATTGAACTTGTCCGATAGCACAGAGTCCAGAGGTGTAAATCATGATCAGGTGGGAATTCCTGGGTTTTATCGTATTCTACTTTATGACGTTGTGAATTTGTCTGTCATGAATGTTTCGTATTCAATTTATAGGTACTTTTTGATAAATTTGATTTGAGTGCCAAGGTCACTGTGACCTAATAACATTAACAAAGGGCAAAGGTTGGGTCACCCTGTTCTCTTGTTGCCATGGGCTGTAAGTGTTGTACCTTCAAAATCAAAAAACGAACTTCAGAAAAAACTTAATGCTAAAACAAACAAACAAAAAACGCTTAATTATATACTAATAAAATACACTGGATCCATGATCCAAAATATTGGTACATCCCTCCATAAGTGATAGCGGTCGAATTGTGGTAAATGATTAAAAGCTTTCATAGGACATTATCAGTATGTAACTACACACCGAGAATTCCATAACGCATATATATATATATATATACCAAGGTGTGTGTATATATATATATATATAGATATAGATATGATTAATGATTCAAACAAAAAATATTGACATCAGATGATTATGCTTTCTACATATTGACTTCCTGTCAAAAAAAAGGGTCTGGCAGTTTTGTTACCTACAATGTCAATTTTTTTCCAACTGCCATACACACTTTCTTCATCTGAAGCTGCAATGGCAACCTGCAGGTCGAATAATAATGGGTTCAACGTCCTGCGGGTTGATTGTCACCGGTGGACCAGGGTCACGTACACCACGAGACAGGCGTAGGTCGGAAATACAACCACAAACTAGAAAGGCCGACATTTTGCTTTGGAGCAAATACAGCAATGGCTTCACCACATTTTTACGACATGGCAGGGAAAGAATGAGAAACACAAGGGAAAACAATGCTTTACATTGATATAACTATAGTATGAAGTAACATACAACTAAGACTACAACAGTTGGATAGCTATTCCCTACATTATTGGTTAGGATTTTTAATTGCATAATGCAAACTGTTGATTTTCAAGAAAAAAGAAGCGTTCATGCCCCGCATTCCAATGCTGGAGCAGGAAAGCTTAAAATACCTACCAAAACACTTGAATACAGACCTACTGTCAGTATGGAATGGCTCTGTG